AGTCAAAATGAACAAAAAATTCATAAAAATAAAGGGTTATAGCTGTGAAAAATTTATATTTGAAAATTAGAGACAATAGACCATGAAAATCTCGAATTTTGAAGTATTACTTCAACATGAAAATCATGAATTTTGAAGTATGCGTGGCTAACTGAAATTTGTTAAAAACAAAAAAAAAACTTTACAAAAATGTAGGTTATATAATCCATGAAAAGTGTGAATTTCAACAAATAAAATTTAATTGCAATTGGATCAAAATGAACAAACATTCACAAAAATATGATAAAAGCCCATGAAATTCAAAAAAATTTAAAATCATGGGCAATAGACCATGAAAATTACGAATGTTGAAGATACATATTTGTCATTGGTTCGAAAATGAAAAAAATTTGACAAAAATCACGAGTTACAGCCCATGAAAAACTTGATTTTTTAAAATCGTTTGTAATAGCCTTGAAATTCGTCAATTTTGAAGTACGCAAAATTAATTGGGATTGGATCGAAACGAAAAAATTGATAAAAATCGTAGGGTATAATAAGCCATGAAATCCACGACTTTTTGAGGAAATTAAACTTAATTGCTATTTGGTCAAAAAGAATGAACATTCACAATAATACTGGGTTATAGCCCATGAAATTCACAAATTTAAGAATAGTTGGTAATAGATCAATGTGTCATTAGGGGTTGGAAAGAACAAAAATTGACAAAAATAGTGAGTTATAGTCCATGAAAATCGCAAAAGTTTAAAATCATTGATAACAGACTATGAAAATCATGAATTTTGGAGTACACAAAATTAATTAGAATGAGACCAAACAAACAAAAAATTAAAAATATCATTGGATATAGCCAATAAAAATCACGAATTTTAAAAAATAAAACTTAATTGACATTAGGTTAAAACAAACAAAAATCCACAAAGATCGTGGACAAAATTTCACAAAGATCATGGATTATAGCCCATGAAATTCACAAATTTGAAAAATCAAGTAAAAGACCATAAAAATCACGAATGTTGAAGTACGCATATTCAATTGTCATTGGGTCGAAAATAACACATTGACAAAAATCCTAAGTTAGTAGATTAAAATCATTAATTTTAAAAAAAAATCAAGGGTAATATCTCATGATAATCGTGAATTTTTAAATATGCGTATATGAATGTCATTAGATCGAAACAAATGAAAATGAAAACTAACAAAAATCATGGGTTATACACCATAAAAATCACAAATTTCAAAGAAATTTTGATGAATCGTTCTTGGGTCAAAAAGAACACAAGTTCACAAAATTTGTGGTTATAGCCCATGAAATTTGAAATTTTAAAAATTTGTGGGTAATAGATCATAGATATCGTGAATCTTGAAGTACGCATAATTAGTCATCATTCATGATTTTCATGGACTACTGCCCATCAACTTTTTTTCATTTCAACCCAATATCAATTAATTACGTGAACTTTAATATTCATGATTTTCATGGGCTTTTGTTAATTATTCTTCACTCTACCTAATGATGATTAATTATGACCACACTAAAATTCAAAATTTTGATGATGGTTAACTTTTCTTCGTTTCGTCCAAACAACGAGTAATTGTACACAGTGTTATCAAAGGCGTGCACGTCATTGCGCATCATGGGCCCTACAATGCGGGGCGGTGTCAAAGCGTCCACATTTGATGTGGCAGTGCCTTTTGCGCCTCGCAAACAAGTGCATGCAAGACTTAGCCTTGCATATTTTTATTCATTAGCATTTTAATCGAATTTTTAATCCTCATACCATATAACTCATATCCCAAAAAGCAAAATAAATCCTCTAAGCATTTTTATTAGCCCAACTAAGGATCCTAACTAATCCTCATTTACTATTTGATTGTGCTTCAATATTTATTATTTGACTTTTATTTAAAATATTTTGAACTTTGCTACTATTTTGTTGGATGGTTACCATTAGAATTAGGACATTTTTTTACATGTAGTAGATATTATTTATTATAACATATTTTATGTGAAAATTCATAAACATGTTCTTTAGTGCGCCTCGCTTCAGTTAAGCGCACGCCTCTTGTTGCGCCTTGCGCATGTGCCCGTAAAGGGACTATGCGCCCCACATTGAACCTTGCACATTGATAACACACATTGTACATAGTTAAAAATTCGTGTTTTTCATGTGTTGTATAACTCATGATTTTATTACAATTTCCTTTTGTTCGACTCAGGCAATTAACTATGCACACTTCAAAATTTGCAATTTTCATGTGATATTACCTATGATTTTTAAAATTTGTGAATTTCATAGGCTATAATCCTTATTTTTGTCAATATTCACTCATTTTAATTCAATGGCAACGAAGTATTCCTTCGTCAAAATTTTGCAGTTTTCATAGGCTACTATAACCTACAATTTTCATCAATTTTCATTCTTTGCCGCAATAACCCAATGGCAAGAACTTATGCATACTTCAAATTTCTTAATTTTCATTGGTTATTACCCACGATTTTCAAAATTCATGAATCTTATTGGCTATAATTCCATGTTTTTTTATCAATTGGCATTCATTTTGACCCAATAACAATTAATCATATGTACCAGAAAATTCCTGTTTCAAAAGTTATACCTCACGATTTTAGTTTATTTTCGTTAGGTTGGACTAAATGATAATTAAATTTTCTTTCATAAAAATCACTATTTGTATGAGTTACAACTAGGGGTGCTAAACCGTATCCGTATACAAGAAAATATCTGTAACCGTATCCGTTAGGATACGAATATGGTTACTCAAATCTATAACCGATAGGATATGGTTACGGATATGGTTTTGTAGTGAAATATCTGTATCTGTATCCGAAATATTCGAATACATATTAGTCATAATATTACGATAGTTTTGATTCTTAGATTATGGATTTGTGGTTAATTTTGATGATCAAGATGTCTAATCTTAACTTTTCAATTATAATGGACATATTAACAAACTCTTTGTATCACATGAACTATGTTTTTCTCAATACTATCTAGTTTTCTCATATCTGTTTCAATGTTTTGTATCTGCATGCATATCCGCTTATATATCCGCATGTATATCCGTAACCGTATCCGACTTTAGCGGATATGGTTATAAATTTTTCTTACCGAGGTATATCCGTATCCGTATCCGTATCCGAGATGGGTAAGCGGATATGGATATGATAAGCATCATATCCGAGCCGTATCCGGACCGAATGCACCCCTAGTTACAACTCACATTTTTTATTAATTGTTCTACTTTGACCTAATGGAAAATAAATATGCATATTTTAAAATTCCTTATTTTCATGGACCATAGTCAATGATTTTGTTCGATTTTGTTTGTTTAGACCAAATAGCAATTAATTGCGTGAACTTCAATATTCACGATTTTCATGAGCTATAACTATGATTTTTTTCCATTACCATTCATTCGTTCAAATAACAATTAATAATGACTATTTCAAAATTCATGTTTTTCATGAGTAATTATAATCAATGACTTTGAAATTATGAATCATGACTACTTCAAAAGAAATTGTTGATTTTGTCCCAATCGCAAATAATTAAACGTGCTTACAAGTTCGTGATTTTCGCGTGCTATATATAACCCATAGTCTTTCAATAATCGCTCTTTCAATCCCATGACAATTTGTTATTCATACTTAAAAATTTATGAATTTCATGGGCTTATCAATGATTTTCGGAATTCATAAATTTCATTTGCTATAACTCCATAATATTTGCAAATTTTCATTCGCTTCTACACAATAGCAATTAATGTTTCTTTCTTTAAAACTCACATCTTTATGGGTTATGGGTAGTGATATTTGTCAATTTTCATTCTTTGACTAATTAGCAAATATGTATTTGTACCATAAATTTCACAATTTTCATGGGCTATAACCCCACAAATTTTGTCCATTATTAATTGTTTCCACTAAATAGCCATCATTTAAGCATACAATTCAAAAATTACAATTTTCTTGGTTATAATCTTTAAATTTTTCTATATTTTCATTTGTTTTGGAGCCAATAGTAACTACTTCTGCGTAATTGAAAATTCACAAATTTCTATATTTTCATTAATTTTTTTTCATTTTGACCCAATAACAAATAAATATGCATACTTCAAAAATCACGATTTTCATGGGTTGCAACCCATAACTTTTACCCATAACTGTTATTTTTAACCGAAGGACAATTAACTAAACATATTTCAAAAGTCACGATATATGGGTTATAACCCATGATATTTTCTCATTTTTGTTTGTTTTGAACCAATGACAACTAACCATGCTTACCTAAAAAATCACGATTTTCACGAGTTATAACCCACAATTCAAGTCAATTTCATGGGTTGTAGCCCACAATTTTTACCCATTCTCGTTATTTTCAACCTAATGACATTTAACTAAATATATTTCAAAATTCCCAACATATGGGCAACCCACGATATTTTCTCATTTTTGTTTGTTTCGAACCAATAACTAACCGTGCTTACCTAAAAATTTGTGACTTTCACGAGTTATAATCCACGATTTAAGTCAATTTCATTTGTTTTGACCCATGGCAGATAAACTTTCTTTCTTCAAAAATAGCGATTTTCATGAAAATTTTATTATAGAAGGCTTTAGCACTATTTACACCAAGATCAATAGTACACTACTTCTATTCAATATACTATTTCCAAACATCCATTTCCTAAGGAGTTAATTACACATTAGTATATACGACATAGTTCATTACTTTTAGCATTACAGTTAAATTTCTAAATTTTAAGATCCATGTAAACCTTTTCAATTGATACTATTCGGGGGTCAAATTGGCGCCATAAATCCAAGTCTTCTACAATTAGGTTTTGAACTAATTTTCCCCAAAATAAAATTTCTATCATACTTTTCCAATTAACAAGTAAGGCTAGCAACAAAAAAACAATTAAAATATTAATTAAATAAAATTAAAGGGAAATTCTTTAGGGGGGCGAATCACCTCGAGGAACTCTTCAGCGTAGGCTTGGGCCAACTGGGTCTTAAGCTGTTCCATCACCGCCTCCGTCGAGTGGCCCCCTGATTCCGACGACAACGACGGAGATGAGAAAGAATCCATTTTTTGTTACAATTATTAGTTTGGCGTTTTTGATTGAAGGAGATTGGAGAGATTGGGAAAAGGGACTAAACCCTAGTTCTGTAGTTGAGCATAGCGATTTATATGGGCAGATTTTGCACTTTACCCCACGGAAATTGCAGTTTTAGAAATGTATTGGGTTCGGGTCGGATCCTACAAGATCCGCTTGGGGATACACTTTAATAACTATATTTTATATTTGGGCTTTTTTTTCTCTGGGTTACGGCCCAACTGTGACAGTTCAAAAGTAGGCTAGGCTAATGGGCTGACGCCTCCAATGAAAACCAATCAATGGCCGACAAAGTTTTCTTTATTTCTCCGACGTGTTTATTTGATGTCTGTACATATTTTGCTTTAGCAATTGAGAAATAATTAAATTGCTTACTTACCAAAAGGAGAAATTTGTTCTAGGGGACTACTTCCCCAAATCGAAGGAAAAAAAAAGTTCAGAACACACTATGCGAGAAAAATCAGATTTCTTTATTAACCAAGAAAACATGCACATTCTATAAGCTTGCAACCTCTTAATCATGATAATAGACGAAGGCAACGCAGAGCCAAAGAAATATCTCAACAGTGTTAGGGTATATAGGAGATGTACTAGCTTGTTCTTCGATGCAAGTTTGGGGGAAAAAATAATATCATACAATATAAAACATTCTTTACGAGATCAAGAAGTCAGCACGCATTAAAAATGTCAAGAAGAAAATGAAAGAGAGATCGGGGAAACTTAGTGAGAGAAAAGGAGCAAACAATATGACCGGAGTGTACACGTAATGTCAGTGACGATGGAGGGGGATGTCGGCGTCTTAGAGAAAAAAAGAAAAGAGAGATCGGGGAAACTTAGTGGGAGAAAATGAGCAAACAATATCACCGGAGTGTGCACGCAATGTCAGTAACGGTGGAGGGGGATGTCGGCGTCTTAGAGAAAAAAAAGGAAGGAGAGAGAGAGGATGAAGTAAATAACTAAGTTAGGAGAAAGGAGGATAGGGGAGGAGGAAGGAGGACCAGATTTAGATCTGGCGAGAAAGTAGAAAGAGGAGGAAGAGGGTATTTTAGGATTTTATATTTATTTCTCTCTCTTTATGCTTAGTTGGCATAAGGATTACATGAAAAAATGGTTGAATCACATAGATCTGTAATTTAAAGGTTGCAGCACATGAGAAAAGTTGGATGGACCAGGGCACACGAAGTTGTTATTTTTGGAGCCTTGAAACATTTTTTCCTTAAATTTATGTTAATTAATGTTAATTATTAATTGTTATCATCCGTCCGTACAAAAGGACAGATCACTGCATACAATATACGAAAAAGATTTTTGGCTCGCGGGTGAACCGCGAGCCACCCAACTCGCAGAGTTGGGTACAGGGGCAGTGGGCCCCACAGCTGGGGCCCACTGCCCCTGTACCCCCCTCTGCGGGTACTGCTCGCCCATCTCCATGTTTTCCACCACATATATAAATTACTAAACAATATAGGATAACTAGAAAACAATTCATAATTATATATATTTTTTAGTTAAATGTACTATAGTAGTCCAAGATATAAACTCCAGCATTACCCTTGTTTTTGTTAAAATTATGTACACACTTTCTATTAGTTAAAAAATATGATTAGAGTAATATAAGTTGTGCAAGCATAAGTAATTTATGGTTGTGGGAGCGGGAAACCCGAAATAATTCCTGGGCGTCAGACTGCAAAATGGCAGGGAAGGGCAGCCCTTTCCCTCCCTCCCTGAGGAAAAAACCGTTGTAGCTTCGCTTTGTGGTCTGTCACAAATTTGTCACTTACGCATATATATGCTATATTATGAAATTAATATCTAGCCATTAAAACATATGCTCCATGATCCAGACGTTCGTTATGATCTATATATATTTTAAGATATTATGTATGGAGGTAAAACTGATCATGTTGATTTGAGAATTTCTAGTCTATACATTTTATTAACAAAAACAAATGAAATGACTATACCGATATCAAAACTAGGTTATCTTGAGCTACCAGGATTATAACATTGAAAATCACAAACCACGTAGCTCTCGATCCACTTCATTTTGATAATGTGTAGATCATAATTGTTAGGATATATGTCAACAAGAACGCCTCGAACGGAGACTCAATACACACTCAAACAATTTTGGAATCACAGAATAAAGACACAAATTCAATCACAGTACTCATAGATATAACGTGGTTCACTCTTACGGAGCTACTCAACGGTGCAACGACGACATCTGGTTCTTTTATATTCTAAAAGAATTAGATCAAAGAAAACATCCTCTCTTGATCAAGATACACTCCAAGAATTCTCACAAACCCTCTCCTTTTTTTTGGTAAATGAATGTAAACTTTATTCATTTTCCAACTCTGTGAAATAGTGTTGTACATCAAAAATCAGGCTTTATAGAAGCCTGATAACCAAAAAAACAGAGTTACATTTTTGTTCTGAGAATTTACATCATATACTCAGGCAAGTTTTCATTCAAAATTTTAGAATAAATGGAGAATTTGATAGCACAAAAAAGCTTGTCAGATTCTCGGGCTTTACCTTAAAAAACTCTAGCATTCCTCTCTTGCCAAATTGAATAGACTGTAACCGATAGCGCCATTCTTTTCAACTTCTTCTTGAATCCTCTCCCTTTTAGATTATAAGAATACCAGTATATAAGTTGGCCCCAAACACATGACCTCCATGTAAATCCCATCCATTCCATCACCTTATTCCAAACATCAGCCGAATACTGACATTCAAAAAACAAGTGCCCGTAGTTTTCAGGATGACTAGAACACAGCACACACTGGTTAGTATTCAGAATATTGAGACGATACAGCCTTTCCTTAGTGAGAAGTATGGAGTGATTGAC